GGAAAAAAAAAAAAAAAAAAAAAAGTAAGAATTTAGTAATCCATTCAAATGCTGTCAATGTTTCAGACCCTGGAAGCCAGCACATATTTCAGGCAGCAAACTCTGCACCTGCAATTACTGCTCAGTCTCCGAAGAACAATGTCTTTTAATCAGTCTGTCTGCGACACTCCAATGCCCGATTCCCGCAGGCACATTGTTCGAGTTATTATGTCAAATTAATGTGGCTATGATTAGTAGGACAGCTAAATAAACAATACCCTGGGGAGGTTTTCTGAACATACTTCTTGGAAGGAGCTGGTGGAGAACTCAATTTAACCAAGTATTTTCCACTATTTCCCTGCGGTCACACGAAATGAATAGAGGAGGGGACAGTAGATAGGAGCAATAAGAAGTCTTCCACGTGAAGAATTAGAAAAGCATTTCAAGCAAATGCAAGAGCAGATTCGGTAGTATAGCTTAAGATATACAAAGCCCCTTTATTCATTAATTCAATTAGTGTTTTATACGTGTCCACAATTCCCTAGACTTTGAACTTACCTTTGACAACGTTGGCCGATCATATGAGAGTAGCATGCATCAAGTAGAGAGAGGGAAAATCACAGACTCACAGAGTTTCCGGGACCATGGAGGTCCTGTTGTCCAATGTGCTCATTCTGTAACAGAGACAAGAGTACATGGTCTCTCTCAAAGAATCAGATCCTTTCACCTTCTCGTGAACAAAGCCCCAAATGGATCTACGTGATTCTGTTTTAAAGTTCTCACTTGGAATTATTCAAAAGAAACTGGCCTTAACATATTTGATGGTACATACTCAGAATCAGTTTCATTTCCCACATCACTTTTTGGTTGTGGTTGATTTCTGTGCGGGGATCGAACACAGGACTTTACACTTGAGAGGCAGGCAGCGGCGGAACCACTGAGCTAAGTCCCAGCCCTATCCCATATGAGTTTATAACCTACTGAATTCCACTATTCGGGATAGGATTGAATGGTGGTGCATTTTTATTAAATGATAGAAAAAAATGATCATAATCTAGATTCTTGTGAAGAGTATAAAAACAAAACTAAGTTCATTATTACAACATAAACCCAAAGATTAAAAACAGAGTCCCGAACACTTTATGAATAAATCAGAATTCTCACATGGAATAACATTTGTTTAAAAATCAAATCTTGTTATTAATGCTTTTCTTCTAAGAAAATGGAAAAGAAAAGGGGAAATTCTATTGCTATATCTGGTGCAAAGAATGGTTTTAAACTCTGTGACAAGTAGCATCAAAGAGGAGACCCTTTGTATACATTAACTATCTTTGGAGGAGCCCCTCATCTGAGGCTAGGGATTTCCTACTGTTGTCTTGACTCGATAGTCAATTCCTCAGTAAGTAAAGACTAGACAAGATGTTATTATGTTGAAACACATCTTTTTAAACATATCATGTAACAATCTTTTCAGGGATATTGGTAATATAGATTGCATTCTCAATTATTTTGCCTGACCAAAAAAAACCAAAATGTACTGAAATGCTTTTTAAATGGAAGGACTTTTCTTTCCCACATAGTTTTCTTACTTCTCATGTTTGTAGGAAAATGCGAACAATATATTTAATTTTTATAGCACTGGGTCATAGAGGGAGAATAATTTTGTTCAGGATTATGTGACACCGTAAAGGTCCTGATTAATTGTTTGAACAGTTGGCTGAGAAAATCCATCAGAAAAATACTAACCAATGTCTGTAGGCAATCGTAGAGGAATATGTGTTTGACCTCTATTGTCTCTGCTTCTTCTGCTCCCTAACTCTTCTCTTGACCCTTCTCTTTTGACTTTGCCTTCTCATTAATCTATCACATTTTCTATAAAAATAGATTAAAACCTTAGACTTTTCTTTCTCAAAACTACAGGATACACTGCTAAATTCTCTTGCTCTACAGTAAAAAAAAAATTTTAAAGAATTTTATTTCCTAAAAGATGTTCTTGTCATTGTTCTTCAGATGCCTCATCCAGTGATCTCGCTTGAGGTTGTATCATTTCTCCCACACACAGTCTCCATGTTTGATTTTTTCTTCATTTTGGATTCCTTTTTCCAGTATGGAAACCCTAGAGATAGCTGATACAAATTCCCACAATTACCCAAGAAGTATCATTCTATGGAAAATGTTTTATATATTGTTGGAATATAGGTCCTATTAGGTTGTTTGAATTATACAATTGCTGTCCTGCACTCACATTGTTTTGGAAAAGACAGACAAAGGCAAATCACGAAAACAAAATATTCATCCTTTCTCTTAGAGGATAAAAATATATTTCCACCTGGCGAAGTTACAGTTACTGTCATGACCAGAGTTTTCCATCCTATCCAATATAGGCAAATATTATTTTAATTATACCAGTTCCATAAATTTCACCAAGATCTATCTGATGTGAAAAGTGGATCATGACTGAAAAGGAGGAGGTAGAGGAGAAAAAACAGGAGGGAGGGTAGAAAGAAGAGGCACAGGAGGCAGCACTGACTGTAACAAGTTGCAATGGGTGGGAAAGTTTCCAATAGATGTGTGCTGAGTGCCAGGTCTCAAAAGAATACTACTCAGCTATCCAGAAGGATAAATCTGAGATATTTGTAAAAAAAAAAAAAAAAAATGGTTGCACTGGGAAAATATAATGTTAAGTGAAATAAATCAGACACACAAGCTTGAATACCACACGATAACTCTCATTTGAGTGAGGCAAACTGCAAATGAAGAGCAAAGTAAAGGACTGACAGGAAAGAGGGAAACAGGTCTTTTGCAAACAGGAAGGAAAGGGTGAGATGGAGGAGGGAGAGTAAAAAGATTTATGATAACATGACGCAATAGCTAAAACTTGGAAACAGCCCATTTGCCCATCTGTTGGAAACTGGATAAAGAAGATGTGGTTTTTCTATAAAATGGAATACTACTCAGCCATAAAGAATGAGAAAGTAGATTCATTCATAGGTAAATGGGTACATTTGGAGGATTTACTCCTAAGTGAAATAAATGAGTCACACATATGTGAATACTGAATAGTTTCTCTGGTGTGAAAAACTAAAATAGTACTCAAGATCCTAACGGGACAATTAGCAATGTGAAATAGGAAGAAAAGAACCAAAGGTGTAGGGACAGTGAGAAGGATAGGGAAAGGGGAATAAGGGAAAGGAAAAAACATATGAGAAAATGTAAAAATGGAATTAAAGTATCTGAAGGTGGGGAGGGGAGGAGGGGGTGAAGGGAGGGTGGGGACAAGGGGAAAAAATGAGAACCGAGATCTGGCATGTAAAGGTACAAGATCCCAGTAATGAATGTAACTGTACTGTGTATCTAGAATGTACCAATAAATTCAATTTAAAATTAAAAAAAAGATTTATGATACATCTGTATGGGTACCAAATATCCACACAATGAATGTAAACATTACAAGTCATAAACATGAACTAAAAATAACAATTGTAATAATAATAATAATAATAATGTGTAAAGGTGACCTGGAGATAGGGTGAGGGAGGGGGGAAGGGGATAAAAAGTAACAAAACGTGTTATGTGCAAACACCTCAAGTCCCTCAGATGCAGGTAAACTTCATGCATTGCAAACATCACCAAAAAATTAAAATTTTAAAAATCAAACACACGGATGAATGAATACACATGGTTTTCTACGTTGGAAGACTGCAGTGCTTTTTGAATTATTTGTTAGGTATATCTTACTGAAAGGGCAATAGTAGGGTGAAATTGAATATCGCTGGAGAGCCGACGAGGCGTAATCAGGATCCAGACTCTGGCGGTGCTCCATATTTGTCATTTGAAAATGTATTATTTAATGGAGCTGATATAGCTTCGTTTCCCAAAACTTAGCCTCTAGTTTTATTTATGTTTCATTTCTATTCAAGCAGATCGGTGGTCTTAATATTCAGTAAGGATCTAGTAAAAAGTGCCTGCCACCACCCTGTGCCCTGTGACATGCAGGATTTCAAAATTCGGTTTCACAAGTTGGACAGCATGAAAGGGAATCTATGATTCATGGTGAGTCTTCAAAGTTGTGTATGAATTAGAAACCAGAACCTCCAAATGATAGTATGAATAAAAGCCAAACCGAAATCGCATAATTCTGCTGACTAATGAGAATCCAAATACTCATTCCTGTTTTGAGATTCATTAAAAGAAATCAGTGAGGATCCAGCTCACTGTTTATCTAAGACAAATGAAATTTAATTGGCTTCAGTTTGTTGTTTTGAATATTTTCAAACTTGTGTGCTTTATTTCAAAGAGGTTAGCCTTTTAACTTCTTATTTTAAAATGATTTTAGATGTACACAAAAACATAATAATAGTCCTAGGAATTCTAATAAATCATCCTACAGTTCCCCCATCATGAAAAATTTAAATTATGTAAAATATATTTTCTCTCTTTATCACCTAAAATATTATATACTAATTGTGTGCTTCACGTTATTTATATTTATAAATAGAATCCATGTAATCTTTTCCTGAACCATTACATAGTAAGTTGTGGATGCGATGCTTCCTTTTCTTTTGCTTTTTTTTTTTCTTTTTTATTGAGGTTATTGGTACAATCTAGGTATACAATACAATTACATTCATCATTGGGATTGTGTACCTTTACATAATAGGTCTTGATTCTCATTTTTCCCCTTGTCCCTGCCCTCCCTTCACTCCCTCCTCCCCTCCCCATTTACAAGCACTTTATTTCCATTTTTTCAGTTTCTCATATTTTTTTCCTCTCCCTTATTACCTTTCCCCCACCCTTCCCACTTTCCTTACACCTTTAGTCCTTTACTTCCTATTTCACATTATTAATTGTCTCATTAGGATCCTGTGTACTATTATAGTTTTTGCACCAAAGAAACTATTCGGTATTTCAGTTAAAGAAATCTCTGTATGAACATTAAAAATAGGGAATCCTAAAATAAAACTAAAAAGGAAAGTAAAAGAGAAAAGGCAATGATGTAACATCAAAATAATCCTTAATTCTGGAGATGAAAATGGTCCCTGAACATATTTAAATTGCTTCTCGCTCTTATAGTCTTATCTTATTCTTTTTTCATTATTTAGAGAATACTTTATTAGTTTCTGTAATCAAACCCACACAGATATGACCTTACATATTTAGTACGATGTGTTACCCCTGTACACATGGAAAAAAAATAAAATAAAATAAATTAACATTTCTAGACCAATATGGTTGTCCATTTCTGTACAATGCCAACTCAGCACAGTAAATTGGGATGACTTTTTCCAAAGTTGGCAGCACCGTTAAAGTTTCCCAAAATTCAATTTATATATGTGTGTGTGTGTGTGTGTATAAAGACTAATAATAGTATGTTATGCATCGATAGCAGCAACAGCTTTTCCAGGTTCTGCAGTCATCTGAACAAAATTATAGACATTCAGCACTTTCCATTAAAAAAAAAAAACCAAAGAAAAGAATAATATCCAGACAACAGCCAAGTTCTGTTGCTGCTGTGGTACCTGGCACCATTTTTTCTGTTGTGCACTTCCGGGGTACATGAAGTCTAACTTCCTCTTGGGAGTAGGTACAAGTACATAATATAGCTTGTTTCTTAATCACCTCCCTTCCCACACCTCCTTCTCTCCATCCTTAAACCCCCTCTCCCCATTTTCAT